AAAACACGAAGTTAATAAAAATAGTTCAAGAAGTCTTTTATTCCCCCAGGCTGAGGATATAAAGTTAGTTCTTACTTGTCTCCTTTCTGGATGGTTATATTATTCATAAGAAATATAGCTGCGTTCATTTGTTTCTGTTTGCTTTCACTTTGGGATATTTTCTCTCATTTTTGTTGATTTAATTTAAATTTAATTTAATTTAGTTATTTAATTTATTTAATTTTTTAAAAAGATTTTATTTATTTATCTGATAGAGAGGGAGAGAAAGCACAAGTAGGCAGGGTGGCCAGCAGAGGGAGAAGGAGAGGGGGAAGCAGACTCCCGTCTGGGCAGGGAGCCCGATGCAGGGCTCGATCCCAGGACGCCAGGATCATGACCTGAGCCGAAGGCAGATATCCAACCAACGGAGCCACCCAGAGGCCCCTCATTTTTTTTTTTTTAATTTTAAATGTATTTATTTGAAAGAGAGAGAGCACAAGTAGGGGGAGCAGCAGAGGGAGAGGGAGAAGCTGGTTCCCCTGCTGAGCAAGGAGCCCAGTGTGAGATCCCGGGGTTCTGGAATCATGACCTGAGCAGAAGGCAGACGCTTAACTGACTGAGCCACTCAGGTGTCCTCTTTTTTTTTTTTTTTTTTTTTGTAACAGCTGCATGGTACTCCATTGGATTTACCTACCATAATTTTGTCAAACAATCTGTTTGGACTTTTGGATGATTTCCAATATTTTGCAATGTTACAGATAATGTTACAATAAATTTCTGTTTTGTTGAAAGTGTCTTAACAGTAAATTCCTGGAAGCGGATTGCTGGGTCAAAGAGTAAATGCATACGTAGCTTTTTTTCTTTTGTTTTGGCTTTTAGTTACGGTAAAAACAAATAAAAAAACCCAACAAGCCACATGACATAAAATCTACCATCTTAACTACTGTTAAGTGTATAGTTCAGTAGTGGTAAATACATTCTTTGTGAAATAGATCTCCAGAACTTTTTTTATCTTAAAAAACTGAAGATTTATATCCATTAAACAAAAACTCCTCCTTTCCCTCTTTACCTTAGACATCAGCGATCACTATTCTACTTTCTGCTTCTAGAAATTTATATAGGTATAAGTGGGATCACACAGTATTCATCTTTTTGCAACTGGCTTCTTTCACTTGGCATAACGATCTCATGTTTCATTCCTGCTGTAGCATGTATCAGAATTTCATTTGTTTCTCTGGTTGAATAATATTCCATTGGACATGTAGACCACAATTTGTACATTTATGCATCACCAGACACTTGACTTGCTTCTACCTCTCGGCTCTTGTGAGTAGCGCTCCTATGAACATGAGTGTGCAAATATCTCTTTGAGACTCTGCTTCCAATTCTTCTGCATAAATTCCTAGAAGTGGGGTTGCTGAATTGTATGATGTTTCTATTTTTAATTTGTTGAGGAAAATCCATACTGTTTTCTATAATGTTGCACCACTCCACGGTCCCACCAATAATGCCCAAGGACTCCAACCTCTCCACATCCTTGCCAACACTGGCTATTTTCTGTTGCCTTGCTAGGAGCCATCCCACTAGGAACAAGATGACATCCCACCTCAGCCCTACTAGTACCTCTCTGATGACCAGAGATGCCAAGCTGCCCCTCATTTGTCTGCTGGCCAAATGCACATCATCGTTGGAGACATGTCCATTCTGGTCTTGCGCATGAACCCCTCCCCCATGTGATTACCCGCCGTTGAGTGGTAGGAGCTCTCCAGACACCTACCCTCATTAGATACATGACCCTCAAGTACTTTCCCCCCACTCTGGAGACCGTCCTTGCTACTCTGTTGATCATGCTGCTTGAGGCACAAGAGCCTCCGTGTACAATGTGTCCAATTTGGCCAATTTTTTTTTTATTTCTTATGCTTTTGGTGTCAGATTCAAGAAGTCACTGCCAAGTCCAATGTCATGAAACTTTTCCTCTATGCTTTCTCCTAGGAATGTCATAGGTTTGGGACTTATATGAAGGTTTTTATTCCATTTTGAGTAAATTTTTGAAGATGGTGTAAGATAAGAGTCTAAACTCATGCTTTTGCATCCAGTTTCCCCAAGACCATTTGTTGGAGAGACTGTCCTTTCCCTACTGAGTGGTCTGAGCACTCCTGCTGAAGATCCCATGAGCAAGTATGTCAGAGTTTATTTCTGGGCTCTCTATTGGTCTCTGCAAATGTCCGTTTTACGCCATTACTACGCGGTCTTGATTACTGCAGCTTTGTAACAATGCACATGTAGATATTGTAGGTAATGATGCCAAACCCCTCCCCACTGGTGGGTGACATTCTGCTTTCCTACCAGCAATGTACCAGAGTGCCTGCGTCCCCAAAACCTTGCTAACAGAGTGTTCTGTCAAGTTTGTTCCCTGACAAGTTTATTAGAATGTAGCTTCTTTAGCTTTAGAAAGTTTCAAGTCTTTGAAAGTCTTAAAGTCTTTTAAATTTGAGAATTTAAAAGAAGTTATTTAATCTCTCAAGAAGTAAAACTACTACATAGTTACATGCAAAAGAATTAATCTAGACACAAACCTCCCATGGTTCACAAAAATTAATCTCATAGACCTAAGTGTAAAACATTAAACTATAAAACTTCTAGATGGCATAGGAGAGAATCAAAGTGATCTTGGGTTTGGCATGACTTTGTAGCATGACCCATGAAAGAAAAAAATTGGTAAGTCGGACTTTGTTAAAATTAAAAACTTCTGTTTTGTGGAAGACACTGTTGAGAGACTGAAGACAAGCGACAGACAGGGAGAAAATATTTGCAATACACATATCTAATAAAGAACTAGTATCTAGGGGCTCCTGGTTAGCTCAGTGGCTTAAGCATCTGACTCCTGGTTTCAGCTCAGGTCACGGTCTTTGGGGTCAGGGGATCGAGCTTCACACTGGGCTCCGTGCTCAGCATGGAGTTTGCTTGAGATTCTCTTCCTCTCCCTCTGCCCCTCGCACTGCTCGCTCTCTCTAAATAAATAACTAATTAACTAAATAAGTAAAATCTTTAAAAAAGCGAGAAATACAGATAGCAAATACCCATATGAAAAGATATAAACATCATTTGTCATTGGGGAATTGCTAATTAAAGCAGCAGTGAGACGCTCCTACACATTCATTTCTAATGGCTAAATTTCTGAACACCAAACACACCAGATGCTGGTGAGGATGTAGAGTGACAGGAACTCTCATTCACGGCGGGTGGGAATGCAGAATGGTGCGCTCACTTTGGAAAACAGTTGGCGATTTCTTACAAAACGAAACATACTCTTTACTGTATGATCGAGCAATCGTTCTCCTTGGTATTTACCCAAATGAGCTGAAAAATTCTGTCTGTGCAAAAACATGTGCACGGATGTGCACAGCAGCTTTATTCATCCCTGCTAAAACTTGCAGCAACCGAGATGTCCTTCAGTAGTACAATGGATAAACGGGGAAGTACATCCAGGGAGTAGAATATTATTTTTTTTCATGATTTTGAGAGAGAGAGTGAGAGAGAACACAAGCAAGGAGAGGGGCAGGGGAGAAGAGGAAGCAGACTCCCCGCTGAGCAGAGAGCCCTATTCGGGGCTCGATCCCAGGACCCTGGGATCATGACCTGAGCTGAAGGCAGAGGCTTTAACCCACTGAGCCACCCAGGCGCCCTGAGACTGAGAATCTTAAGCAGTCTCCATGCCCAGCACGAAGCCGGACTTGATCTCAGCACCCTGAGATCAGACCGGAGTCAAAATCAAGAGTTGGACGCCTGATGGAGCCACCCAGGTGTCCCTCAGTATTTTTAATATTATGCAACAGTCCATCTCAGATGTCTGCGAATAGTGCCTATTGAAGAGTCATTTCAATTTCCACGAGACCATAATTTTCTCTTTATTTGAGAATCTTCTGTTGTTTTGCTTAACTCTTCAAGCTCTTTTGATATCTCATCTACATTAAATCTACTGTTTTAACAGCACCTAATCGGCATTCCCATTGTGTGTCCCAGAGAGGGAGGAAGGCCAAATGTGATGTGTGTCTTTCCAAGATGTTTCCTCTTTGGGCAGATAGAGAAAACAGTGTATATGATCTTTCTATTGTTCTGAATGCCACCATGTCAGCACAAACTGAGCTGAGGTCTAGTAACGAGTTCAACTACGTGCCACGGCACAAAAATGCTTCTGGATTTTTGGTGCAAAAAATGACCTTATTCCCCCTTACCTTTGTTAACCATGATAGTCTCGTCATCATTGACTGCCCTCAACAATGCTTTTTTTTTCAATTAAGTAGGTTTCACACCCAGCATGGAGCCCAACATGGGGCTTGAACTCATGACCCTGAGATCAAGACCTGAGCTAAGATCAAGAGTCAGATGCTGGGGCGCCTGGGTGGCTCAGTGGGTTAAAGCCTCTGCCTTTAGCTCGGGTCATGATCCCTCAGGTCACAATCCCAGGGTCCTGGGATTGAGACCCACATGGGCTCTCTGCTCAGCAGCGGGCATGCTTCCTCCCACCCCTCCCTCTCTGACTGCCTCTCTGCCTACTTGTGATCTCTGTCTGTCAAATAAATAAATAAAATCTTTTAAAAAAAAAGATCTTAACCAACTGAACCACCAAGGTGTCCCACCCCCAACAATGTCTTAAATCAATGCCTAAAATTATGGGGTGCTTTTTTTTTAGTCCTTTCCTTATGTCAAAACAGAGCTAAAACCCATTAAAAAAGTATGTGTGTTTCATGTAGATTACATATATACACATTTTTAAAAATCTGATTTAATATTACAAATGTTCCTCAGCTATTGCATTATTTTCTGAGTACTTCTGGAACCATAAATTAGAACAAGAAGAAAAGCAAGAGGATTTGACTAGGTAATTAATGTATTTCTTACCCAAGCACTACAGCTACTCAAATCCTCCCCTACATGAAAATTCAGGAGTTTTGTCTGTGGCATTTGGATATACTTACCTGATGTCTTCAGGACATTATGAGATGCAGAAGAGGGCTTTTCTGGGCGTGAACGGCATCATCAGCTGAGCCGATGTTTAGGGTTATGAGTTTGACCAGGCCAGTGACAAGGAAAACATTTTTTGGTACGTTGGTGATCTGCAGAGCCCTTAGCTGGTGCTAGGAGGGAATTGGGTGAGCAGGGGCAGAATGAAAACAAACCTACGAATGTACCTTTTAACATAGTGTTGACTTTGGGATGCTGTAAGATGATGTGCATCAGTCAAAAGCAAAATTAGATGAAAAAGGGAAAGAAATCCATCTCTAAAAACCATAGCGGTAATATAGATTATACTGAGTGCTTGATGGGACACCAGCGGGGAGGGGGAAAGCACACATAATACCACAAGCAAGACCCCTGATTCAGACGTGCTTTCATGGTTTGACCCCCAACTCTAAAAGCCCCTTTTATTGTCCCTGTGAACATCTCTCACTGAGCGAAACAAAATCCCTAACTTAGCACCACAGCAGAAAGCAGAAACCTGGGGGCCGGTGCTGAAAGACTTTGGTTCCCCCCACTCCTCATTCCAACTTCCATTATAAAATTCTGTAAGGATAGAGAGTACCTCTAGGCATTTGGTTTTCTTAGGAACTGGCTGCAGACCGTCTTCTCCATCACTGCAACTCACACTAGTAAGCAACTTGAACTTCTTCCTTACTGTCAGTTGGTGTCGGCTCTTTTCCACCAACATTCTCTTCTCTCTCCAGCCTCCGAATAGATGATGACCCCCGCTTTGGCAACTGTGGGTTTGAAGAGGCTCTTATCTGAAACACAGTCCTGGAGGAGAAAGACAAGTTATCAAGTTAGTAGCAATACCACTTGACTTCAAGGCCAACCCCCATTTCCATGGTCAACTCAAGGGGAATGGTTGGTTTATAATCCTGCTACATGGGGAAGTATGTTGGCTTTTCAAAGAGGGTGTCATCCCAGTGCTTCTTTTGCATTGTGTTCTCATGTCCTTTTCAGCTTAAGAATGAAGAGTATTGGGGTGCCTGGGTGGCTCAGTGGGTTAAAGTCTCTGCCTTCGGCTCAGGTCATGATCCCAGGGTCCTGGGATCAAGCCCCGCATAGGGCTCTCTGCTCAGCGGGGAGCCTGCTTCCTCCTCTCTCTCTGCCTGCCTCTCTGCCTACTTGTGATCTGTCTGACAAATAAATAAATAAATAAATAAACTAAAAAAGAAAAAAGAATGAAGAGCATTTTGTAAGACAGCAAATCATTTGTTATAAGAATTGTGGCCCCACATCACCTCTGCCTGCCCATAGCTGTGTGGCTGGATGTCAAAGTTATAGCTCATTCAAAGTGGCTTCGGTGAGTCTCAGATCACTCAGAGGGGAAGTTTGGGCCTCAAACTAATAGAAATACTATTTTAGAGGATCCTGCCCATTTCAAGAAGGTCTTTCTTGCTGTGGAAAGCTGGCTGGTTAACTGCACACAGTGTAGGCACAGCAAGTTTTCTGAGTTTGATTTTGGACATGTGGAGTCGGTTGTTTTCTAAAAAAAATTTTTTTAAAGATTCTTACATATTTATTTGACAGAGAGAAAGCACAAGTGGCGGGGGAGTGCAGTGGCTGCAGGCAGAGGGAGAGGGAGAAGCATTTTTCCCACGGAGAAGGGAGCCCCACGAGAGTTTCAATCCCAGGACCTGAGATCACGATCCCAGCCCAACGCAGACGTTTAGCTGACCGAGCCACCCAGGTGCCCCTGGACATGCTGAATTTGAAGCACAAGTGCGATATCCAGGCGCTGTCTGTGTCCAGGAAATGGTTGCAACCTAAACTTTTCAAGAGCTGGGCTAAAGGCACAGATTCAGAAATCGTCATGTAGGGAGTAGAGAGGGGTCATGAAAGAATACAGGAGAGGGTAGTGTCCAGGGGCCCCGGGTGGAGGAAGTGGCCACTGACAGGAAGTGCTACAGGAAGACAGACTGGGAACCCGGGAGGTGTTCACTGAACAGCTAACATTTCTGAATAGAACAGGTTCCAGGTGGGGAGATCAAATATCTTGAAGGAGAGGTGGGTGTATTCGCCAAGATTTGAAACTGGGGGAAAAGGCACAATTGGACAATAAAAGCGTCAGCATCAATAACGGAAACAGACCATGCCCTGAGCAGGAGGCTAATACAAATCCTTACATTATTCTCCTTTGTTTAGAGAGATTAGCATTTTGTGGTTAGAGCTTAGCTTGGCTGGGGGTAGAGACAGAGTATACTGTAAAATCATATAACAAAATAGGAAGTTGGGAGTCTGATGGCTACAGAAAGGGAGGGGAAAACCCAAGAGGAAGAGGAAGAGGAAGGAAAAACACATCTCAGAGAAAACATTAAGTTGGGGCCTGACAGGTGTGAGAGAGAGGCTGGGGCAAAACCAGTGGAGTTTTAGAAACTGCAGTCCTTGGGGCACCTGGGTGGCTCAGTGGTTTAAGCCTCTGCCTTTGGCTCAGGTCATGATCTCAGGGTCCTGGGATCAAGCTCCACATCGGGCTCTCTGCTCAGCAGGGAGCCTGCTTCCCCCTCTCTCTCTGCCTGCTGCTCTGATTACTTGTGAACTCTGTCTGTCAAATAAATAAAGTTAAAAAAAAAAAAGAAAGAAAGAAAGAAAGAAAGAAACAAACTGCAGTCCTTGCTCTGCACTGTGCTGTCTCCCCTGATGGGACCGCCACAGCTCATTAAAGGCTTGCTACATAACTCAGCTTCCTATCAGTGGGGCACTGCGGGGTGAGGGATTAAGGCAGCATTTGGGATTAGGTGGGCGAAGTCGGGGAGTCCAGGCCAGGATGGAAATGAAGCATTGAAGCAAGCGGTTAATTGAAACAAAGGGGGAAGGATGAGATCCTCAGGTATCCTTGGCATTAGTAGAGAACACTAGGTTTCCCAGCAGATTTGGGATGGGGTCTCAAATATATTTTGAACATTGAAGGAAAAGATAGCTTATTGAGGAATCTAGAGCCACCCAGGGGTAGATATGGAACTAGAATGTTCAAGTAAACAAATTAATAGGGACTAGTGAAGGAGGGTGAGCTCTTTCTGGTCTGCGGGCTCCTTGTCATAATGACAATGAGATAATCTCCTGAAGATGCCGAGAAAAGCTGATGACGCTGAAGGAAACAGTCTGGAACAGCATCTTGGGAATCCCCTGTGACAATGTGCTTCCCCTTGTGACCGGCGTGTGGGCACACCCTCTGGAACATTTTTGTATCCCCAACATATCTGCAGTAACTCAATAAATAATAGACTAAATGAATGAACGGAGGAGGACGAATGGATAGACAGAAGTCTGCGGAGCGTGTGGAGGCGGTGCAATCCCGGAGCCCAGCTCAGAGGCAGTAACCTGCGACTCTCACCTAAAAAGTTCACGACCCGGAGCCAGGAGAAAGAACAGCACCGGCATTTGGCCCAGTCCAAACTCCCGCTCTGTTTGGGGCGGGGCTAGGAGGAGGGCCTAGTCGGCTTCTGCGCGTCAACTGACCAATCGCCGCCTCAAGGGGGCGGGGATTTCAATCTGTCTCCGTTCTTCCCTTTGGAGAGAGTAAATACATTTGGGCGCGGTTCAAACGGACCAATGAGTGCTCGATGTTTCCTGCGGTTCCTTCTCAACGATTGGCCGGAGCTCATCGTCCCGCCCTCTCGTCACGATTTTTGCCCCACCCCTTCGCGCACAAGATGGCGGCACCCAGCGGAGTAGAGGCAGCGTTTGGGGTTTGCTGAGGCTGACGCCCTTTCCCACTACCCCTTTGGACGCAAAGCGCCGCGAGCCCAGGGGACGGGGGCCGGGCGGGGACAGGGGTACCTGCGTAGCTGGACCGCGAGCCCGCGCCCAGCCTGCGCCGCCCCCACCCGGCCCCGGCCCGAAACCATCCGTTCCCGGTCTCCTCTCGGTCTGACCCACTGCCCGGTCGTGGTTCGCCACCACCAAGCCTCCAAAGCTGAGCTCTCTCCTCCAGCCCGGGCTTACCTCCACTTTAGAGATGTTTGGCCTCTTCCTTCCCAGACAGCCCGCCTTCAAAACCGGGACTCCTGGACCGGCACCTGGCCCCTTTTCCCTCCACTGAGACTCCACCCCGCTCTAACCCACTTCTTCCTCAGATTCTTGGTTCTCCCTGGCTTGGAGACTGCTCACTTCCCTTCCAAATTAATCCCCGACGCCCCCCAATATTATCAGCCTTGACACCCCCCTCAACCTGGAGCCAGACTTCCTTTTGGATTAACCTCCACAGCCCTATCATGGAGGCTGTGTACCTGATAGTGAATGGGGTGGGCCTTGTGCTGGACCTGCTGACCTTGGTGTTGGACCTCAACTTCCTGCTGGTGTCCTCCCTCCTGGCTTCCCTGGCCTGGCTCCTGGCCTTCATCTACAACCTGCCGCACACGGTACTGACTAGTCTTTTGCACTTGGGCCGCGGAGTCCTGCTTTCATTGCTGGCCTTGATTGAAGCCTTGGTGCGGTTCACCTTTGGGGGGTTGCAGGCCTTATGTACCCTGCTGTACAGCTGCTGCTCTGGCCTGGAGAGCTTAAAGCTCCTGGGGCACCTGGCCTCTCACGGGGCACTGAGGGGCCGGGAGATACTGCACCGAGGTGTCCTCAATGTGGTCTCCAATGGCCATGCTTTGCTGCGCCAGGCCTGTGACATCTGTGCCATTGCCATGAGCCTGGTGGCCTACGTGATCAACAGCCTGGTGAACATCTGCCTCATTGGCACTCAGAACTTTTTCTCCCTGATGCTGGCCCTGTGGGATGCAGTGATGGGGCCGCTGTGGAGGATGACGGACGTTGTAGCTGCCTTCCTAGCCCACATTTCCAGCAGTGCCGTGGCCATGGCCATCCTCCTCTGGACCCCCTGCCAGCTAGCACTGGAGCTCCTAGCGTCAGCTGCCCGTCTCCTGACCAGCTTCGTGCTTGTCAACGTCACCGGCCTGGTGCTGCTGGCTTGCGTGCTGGCAGTGATGGTGACTGTGTTGCACCCGGACCTCACCCTGAGACTGGCCACCCGGGCACTCAGTCAGCTCTACGCCCGGCCGTCCTACCACCGGCTCCGAGAGGATGTGGTGCGGCTGTCTCGCCTAGCACTGGACTTGGAGGCCTGGCGCCGAGTCTGGAGCCGCAGCCTGCAGCTGGCCACCTGGCCAAACCGGGGAGGGGCTCCTGGGGCCCCTCAGGGTGGCCCTAGGAGGGTGCCCTCAGCCAGGACCTGGCGACAGGACATTCTTCCCGAAGCAGGGCCCAGATCAGAGGCAGAAGAGGCAGAAGAGGTCAGGACGGCCAGAGCAACAGCTGCTCGCGGCCGGGAGAGGCTCAACGAGGAAGAGTCTGTCGCGGGGCAAGACCCATGGAAGTTGCTCAAGGAGCAGGAGGAGCGGAAGAAATGTGTCATCTGCCAGGACCAGAGCAAGACGGTGCTGCTTCTGCCCTGTCGGCACCTGTGCCTGTGCCAGGCTTGCACTGAGATCCTCATGCGCCACCCCGTCTATCACCGCAACTGCCCACTCTGCCGCCGGGGCATTCTGCAGACCCTCAATGTCTACCTCTGAAGCCTCCTTCCTTGCCTGCCCGCTCTGCTGTGCTCCATGAGCCACCTGCGCTAGGACAGCTTTCACACCTGACCTCTTGGTTCCTGGCCTGAATTCCCTCCTGCCCCCATGGCCATCACGCCGAGCCTCCAAGCCATACGTCCAGGACATGGAGATAGGCTACTCTGGAAGACTGTGAGCTGGGTGGGGCAGGGTAACAGCTTTTTCTCACCCAGTGCACCCCTGTGTGATGCCAGAGGTGGTGAGTGTGTCACTGTGCAAGGCCCTGAGACTGCTGTGGACCCCTCTCCAGCTTGCCAGGGCCCATCCAGATGCCAACCTCTGGGGCTCCCCTTCTACTTCTGGTGTTTCTGTTGGGGATTTGCAGGTCCTCTCCCTGACCCCTCCCCATTTCCTCCCCAGCTTCTGCAGCCACAACACCTCACTGTCCTTCGGATGTTTTGCTAATGCAAGGGCCTTGGAATGAACTTGAACCTTTGCTTTCAGCCAGAGCACCTGTGCACTGGTGGGCCTTGGGGATAGTATCTCTCAGGTGCACTTAGTGTGACCACTTCTGCCAATCTTGATCTTATGAGGCTCCCTCCCAACCTGATCCAACAGCTAGGATCAAGAGTTTACCCCTTGGGGGGGGTGGGTGTCTGCACCCGGCTTTGGGACCATGTTACCCTCTGGCACCCCAGCTCCACTGGGAGCCTCAGAAGGGATAACCAGATTTCTACTACCCCTTTCACTCCCCACATCACAGAGAACAATGGCATTCCCCTTCTGTTTGTCTCTCCCTAGCACTGGGGAGGGCAGACTGCACATTTCACTAGGGTCCAAGTATGGAAGGGGCCAACCTAGGAGTATGCAGCTCCCTGATGGGTCTGTCTGACCCAGATGGGTCTGTCCGGCCCAATTTCTGATGAATAAATTTCTCTTGACAGCTCTGATGGCATCTGTGTGCATCCTTACAGGGGTGACCAGCTGGTCAGACTAACTGGGGCTGCAGCAGGGTCTTTCAGTCCTACTGGAGTCACTGTGGTCTGTAGGGGACCTGGTGGGGGAGGAGATAAGAGAGGATGTGAGGACTGTACCTTGGAGAGAGCCCATGCCAGGTGTTGCTGGGTTAGCTTCCGCCCCCTCCAATTTGTGCCCTCACATACCTGGCTTTTGGGAAAGTCCTCCCAGTCTTTTTTACTCTTTCCAGAATGAAGCCCTGGTAGAGAGGCGTGGGAACATTCCCATGCCTTGAGTTGGCTTCCCAGCTTCTCTAGTGCCACTCTTCCCAGAAGGGAATTTGGGGTTCCTGCTGCCTGGACTCCAGTCTACCGTCCAGTCCCTGGAGGAGCCTGGTGCTTGTCTTTGTGTCCCTTGGGCTGGAGTGGGGCTGTGAGGCCTCCTGGCGGAGAGCTGGGAGCTGAAGTCCAGGACCCAATCCCAGTCCCCATGTTCGTATCTGCCCTCACAGGCCCAGCAAGACGGAGGGGGGACACTCCCGCATAATTGTATGTTAAATCTAGGAGCATAATGCCAGGGCAGCCTTCTGGAAGCTGTTGGGTGGTTAGCGGAGCGGGGGTGGCGGGCTTGGGGGGGCGGGTGGAGGGGGTGTGGAGGAAGGGTAGGTTAGAAAGAAACTGAGAAGAGGCTCCTCCACATTCTCTGGGGTTGAGAGGCTGAACTGATTGTGGGTCTGGCAATCCCTGGCTTGTTAGTCATTGGGATGGGGGTGGGGCTGGGGCTGGCTTCTGAAGGTCAGAGGAGGGGAACCTTGAAGGGGCTTTGTGGCTACCCTCAGACTTAGTGGCGCGGCCCACCCAGGCTATGCCCAGCGCGGTGGGGGGCGGGGGCAGTTTCACCACATCCATCTTGGAGCTGGGAAGCCTGGGGAGGGCTTTTCTCCCCCTCCCCCAAGCCCTAGAGAGGGAGGTGAGCAAGGGGAGGTTCCGCTCCGTCCAGTCTCTGTTTAATGTGAGGATAAACATTTTATGAGAGAAGATAAACTTCCTAAGCTGGGAGCAAAGGACCCCCTTTTCCTGTACCCCCATCTGGAATTACATTGGCAGACCTCAACAGCCGTCCTCTCCCTAAGTACCCTAGCAGCCTTGAGCTCAAGCTCCAGGATCTGCTGCATTCTGGAGTTGAGACGCCCTCTTGTGGTCAGCTCAGAAACTACTTATCTCTAGCCGCCCAGGAACACACCACTTCCCTGGCGTGGGGGGACAGAGAAATAGCTTTCCAGTCATCTAGAGACCAGGCAGGCAGCCAGAGCGGTCACAAATGCACACACGGGGATCCTTTTTGTTGATCAGGGTAGTGTGTGGCGAAGGTAGCCCCCGCCCAGTTCATATGACATCTTTGAGTCAGAAAAAGCTGGCCAGAGCCCCATGCCAGAAGGGCACCCTCTCCAGCCAAGCACTCCTGTTCACAACCAACACAACTCAGGGGACAGCTCTATGGAGCGGCTTCTCATTCACCTGGCCCTGTATCTCCTGTCCCATGGCTCATCCAGCCCAAGAGCCCTTCCTTCTGTCTGGGCACCACCCTGAACCTCTTCCCCAACACTCCCTCTCTCCTCCCCATCCTCATCACCAGGGCATCCCCACCACAATGAAGAAAGGTTGAGCCACTAGGTTGTTTTTGTTTTGTTTTATTTGATTTATTGAATAATCTCTGAGAAAAGGGCCCAGGCATAGGAGGGACAAGGGAGAACCCAGAGAAGCAGCGCACCAGGAAGAGGGCACCCCACCTCTGGGGTCCTGGGCCAGAGCAACTGGGGGACCCACACCTGCCAGCACAGAGAGCTCCTTTGGTTTTGGGCAGAAATCCAGCCAATGCACCACACTGCCAGCCCTGATCTCAGACAGCCTCTATCCCCGTTCTCTGCCAGCAGCAGGACGGAGTCCTTCACAACATCCCAAGGGGGGGGCCAGCC